TACTGGATTTCTCCAAGAAGCAGGCATAACTGTTTTCCTCATTCTTCTTTGCTTCCATTATCAACTTGAGAAGCTTTTTACAGCCAGTTCTATCTATGTATTTGCACAGGATTTTCCAGAGAGTAGGCATATCTGCTCTACTGAAACGACAGTAAAATATTTGACATGAGCTTCTTAGCCATAACTGGATTAGAGGGGATCATTAATCACACAGGTAAAACACTACATACCTTCAGAAAGAGAGGTGTCCTACTGTGGCAGTTACCACTGGGAGTTTCAGGAAATGTTTGGATATGCTATCTATGCTTGTATGCAGAAGAAACCAGCACTCCCATACAGACAACAAGGACCAGGTCACCACTGCCTAATGCTGTCTTCGGAAATGGGGAAGACATCTGAGCCTGTCAAAGGTCATATGTAAGGAAGTACAGTATTGGTAAGAAGCTCAGACACAAACATACCTTGAGGTAAAACTGGAGACACAGAAATTCTGTGTATAGTCTTAAATGTATTCTTGGTGTCAATGCTCTGTCAAGAAAGAAAGATGTACTATAAGTCATTTGCAGCTGTGTATCAAGTAAAATTTATGTTGAATAAATGCATAAACACCGACATCCACACAAAGATCAGAAGAGAGAAGGTCCAGGTCAAAACCCACTATTTACCCAAATCTTTGCACATGGTTTCCTTCTACACATAGTGCCTGATCTACAAGGTGAGCACTAATTTATTTCCACAGAATTACAGTGTAGAAAAGTTGGAAGACACCTGTTGTCTAGTCCACTCATCCTGCTCAGGGCAGGGTCACCTACAACTGGTCGCCCAGGGCTGAGCCATCTGGTTTGAAGTATTTCCAGTGATGGAAACTCCACATTCTTCTTAGAGCAATCTGTTCTGGAGTTCAATTGCCATTATAGTAAGAAAACAACGAAACAAAAACTTTCAAATAGAACTTCCTCATTTTCAGTTTCTGGCCTTTTCCTCTTGCCCTCTCACTGGACACAATTGAAATAGGCCTAGCTAAATCTCTTCCACTTCTTTCCATCCTATACACATTGGTAAAGTTTCTCCTGAGCCTTCTCTTCTCCAAGCTAGACAATGACAGAACCTGAGTTTTAAAATTCAAACTCCTAATCACCTCCAATTACCTAGGGATATGTGTTGGTGCAGAAACTGATTTAAAATAAAACCCCAACCAAACAAAAAGCCTTTACAGGCTGAAATTTGAGGTTGAAATGTAAACCTGCACTGGGACATCTCACTGAAAAAAGCATGCATATTTGCAGAGCAGACAGTCTTGTGTTATAAGCTGTGCATTCCAATAGTGAAAACAATCCTATATTGTGTCCCTTGAGAGCAGTGATAAAGTGTACTGACTTGATTACTGGTTTAGAGGAATGCTGAAAGCATAAAAAGAGGAAAGAAATACATAGAAGGTTTCTTTTAAAGAAACACATTAAGATCAATTCTTCATTCTAAAGAAAATAAATCAGGCCTAACTTAGTAGGAATGAGAAACATAATACAGAGAAGATTCTGTAAGAGATTTAGTTCAGCAAATTGAGCTTCAAATAGTTATTAAAAGACAACAATGATCAAAGATGAATCAATGCTCACTCATAGACTATATAGCTAAAAAATGCTTCCAACCATGCAGAAACCTGGATAGATAAAAATTACTGCAGATACTTATAGGCAAATATAGCTGAGCAGACACCATAAAGCTGCTGTCTGTCCTGCATAAAAGAATTATGTGTCTTTCCAACAGCATAAACTACTGGGTTTTTAGTCCTGCAGAGATATAAAAAAGTGCACATCAAGTGTTCTGCCTGTTTGCCTTGTTCAAGTGTTTTTCTAAGTGTTTGCGAATGAACTCATCATAAAGTATCTGTTACCAATGGTAATACTGGTACCCAGATTATCGGCAAAGCAAAGGAAACCATTTTTGACATCACATCTTCAAACTCCTGCTTTGAGACCAGTGGGTAAGTTACCCAGCTGAATAGTATGGCACACTTTAGACTGGTTTCCTTCACTCTGAATTAAATACAAATAATCCCTTTAATTTTAAACCCCTGGTCCAGTAGGAGTATATAGTGAAGTCCATAACTTCTTCCCTTTGCACCTCAACATGCATTAATAAATGTATTAGTAGTTGCCATATACTTACTCCTTGTAGCTTGTAACTCTTTGTAATCCACTTCTACATGTAGGACAGCCAGATCTTTCAAGAAACTCAGTTCTAAAAAAATTGTTTTACTGTGTACTTACCAAGTAAACTTCAATTTGTCAGTATACTAGAGAAGGCAAACATCCCTATAACCATTACTAGCCTCCATTTACTAACATCCTCCAAAACTGCATGACGAGTATTTCCAGAATGAGAACAGGGTGGGCTTCTTTAATACTATACTGCAAAGCTACTTTCATTACATTCAGAGGTATACTGCCAGTACGTCAAGTTGTCAACAGACTGTCACCAACAGCTGACTCCCAAGAGTTGCTCTTGTCTCAGGAAAAATCCACTTTATGGAACTCCAGAAGGAAACCTTCATCTCTGCCTACAATAAAATGAGTGTGCGTCTTCTCCAACAGAAAACCTGAGTACAGAAGAAACATCAGGAGAAACTTCAGCAAGCTACAACATGACCAAGCAGGCTACAAATGTTGCAGCTCCTTTTCCTGTCTGAAAGGACAGAGCTATCTACCCCAACAACTTGGTGCAAAATGACCCTGAGTAGGGGTCCCCCATCTCTTCCTCTCTGCTTGAATTTTCCACGCCAAGTCACTACTTGCAGCCTCATAATATGAAACAATGCAAGCAGAATTTTGTAGATCAGTCACCCACCTGAAGGTGATAGAAGTTTAAAGCAAAATAGTTCAGTACAACAGAAAATTGCCTCATTATGCAAAAACCATTCTTACTTTTAGATTCCATCTTATGTTCCCTTGTGTTACACTCCACTTGACCTGAGCAGAAATTAATACAGAAAAAAGGATCCAAACTTGGAGATTTCCAAGCTGTGATTTCGAATTACCTTTTTTTTTGTTTCTTTTAATGAGCAAACACTATATAAAAAGTGCTAAAGAACAATGTTCCCATGAGACTTAGAGGAGTACAGTCACGGGAGATTTCTGGTAGCAAAGCTGAAGAACAGGAACAGTACAGCTTCTAAGCTATTTTTTTAGCTTTTAATAGATATACAATACTTTTTTAAAAAGCCCAAACAAAACCAGAGCTTTTCTCCTCTCTTTTCTTTTTCTTACTTTATCACTGTAAGGCAGCATTAAGCACCCTGTACAGATGAGTACAAGATCACAGCATCATCAAATAGTTTGTGTTTGAAGGGACATTAAAATACATCTAGTTCCTATCCACCTGCCACGATCAGGGACACATTCCACTAGAACAGCTTTCTCTAAGCCCCATCCAACCTGGCCTTGAAGATGAAATATTGCTGTACAAAGCTGCATGTATTACAATGTCTCAACTTAGTCAGTTTTTTCCCAGCAGAAGGTGAAACAGTGCCACCTACAGTGATATTTCACTCACTAGGAAAGCTGCACAAGGGAAAACTCTTTGAACTTGCTCTACTACAGCTGAAGCCTCAGGATAGACAAAAGGCCAAATCACAGAGAAATTAGTGTTTTTTAACCCTGTAAGCAGGAGTTTCTTTGACTGTACCTCTGGGTTTTCACAATCACTAGTTGTATGCAACTCAAGTGAATCTCAGGCCAAAGTATTTTACCTGCAATATGTTACATTATGTAAAATTAAAACTGTTAAAATTGCCTTAGGGTCTAAATATCTAACTGCTTTTTTTCCACATGCTTCCATTCATTTTGTACCATCACTTAATCAGACCTGACAAGCATCAACCACTCCCTCTTAAGCTAGGTCACAGGTCATTCTCTATAATCAACACTCTTACCCACCAGCTTATATTCTGTTACTAAAAGGAACATTTACGTAATCCAAGGATAAGAAGTTATTAGAACTGGTAACAGTCATGCATTGTTAAGACAAAAAGAGCAATTAAGGACTTCTTAAAAAATAACAGTGCTTGTACACATCTTACTTACCTTATCTCTGGACAGTGGAGAAAATGGCAATGCTTTCCAGCACAATAACATACCAGTCACATAAAGGTCTACAACTACTTGGTTTTCCATTAAGAAAATACTTTGTAGGCCACTTTACAACAGGAAGTGGGCTGTTACTCATACTCAAGAATGTGCAGGCCAGTATTTCAATGATTAAGTATTCTGCTTAACAACAAACTACTTGCCTCTTTGTGAGAACAGAGGAAAATTCCAGAAAGGTCAAGTAGAGTGGATGAAATTATGTAAAATTCTAGGTACATTTAGTTACTTCAGAACCAGTTAGACTTTGTTGATAGCTAAATACCCCTAGCCACTCATTATATCTTGGCAGTGTGTGTTTCAATAGGACAAGGTGGGTAGTATCTTAAACTAAAAGATGGTTGATCCAAGCTAAATACACTAAGAAGTTTTTTACAATGAGCATGGTAAACCAAGTTGCTCAGAGAGAGGGCAGATGGATGCCCCATCCCTGGAAACATTCACAGTCAGGATCAACAGGAGTCTGAGCAACCTAAAATAGCTGAAGATGTCCCAGCTCACTACAGGCTTGAAATAAATGACCCTTCATGGTCCCTTCCAACCCAAAATACTCCATGACTGTATTTTATGATTCAGACATCCTCTGGCTGGGGCTCAGCTGTGGTCTATTAACTCTTAGGACATCCAAGTAACAGCAATGAAAACTCAAGATACCAACAGCTGAAATCAAGGACCCAGACTAAAGAGAAAACTACAGACTCCAAATGCATTTGAGAGTTCTCTCTGTGGTTCTGGAGGTGACAGCTTAAAACTGTGCATGCGTGTTCACAACACAATCTTTGGAAGCAAGTTTCATCATGTCTGTACTAACACGTCTAAAGATTTCTCTTACTGTGCAAGTGAATTGCCAACCATTGATTAAGAAACACTTTTTATTCTGAGCTCACTTTCTCTTTAAACTGAATAACCATTTAACTCAAGTACAGAATTAGAAACTTATGACTAGTGCTGAGTATCACGGCAGCTATTTCCTAGTGACACTCAGCAGGTCATATGAATTAATACCTTGTTGTGACAGTTTAACATGGACCTGTGGATCTGCTAAAAAACATGCTCACATGACACTGAATCAGCAGAGAAGGCTTTTATGAGTAAATATACAAAAGACTTTAAGTATTCCAGCTGTTTATTTGCCAGTGTACAGTATACATTAAAAAAGAAAAAAGGAAGAAGGCCCAAATAACATAAAATATGTATATAGTGTTTGCTAGACAAATACCTGACTAAATCAAGTCATACCTTACACTTCATGGAGTCACAATGAAGTTCAGGCACATACTTTATGTTTGGTTTAATGGTTTACAACTCTTTTGGTCTGTTTAGTAGAAAATGAACCAACTGAAGCAGAACTTCATCATTAAAGCCCTTCACATTACCATCTTCCACAACATCATACAGTGGCTTACTGTCGGTACCCCAACAAATATTCTTTCGAGGGTTGTTTTTAATTGTTTCTGCATTTAGTGCTAAAGTATTTAGCTGGTAGCAAAAGAAAGCAAAATATTTTCCATCAGTCACTACTGCCTGCGATACAAAAGGACGGGTCACATCTGCTTCATTCCAGAATCCTACAAAAGAAACAAATAAAACAGAACTTGAGATTTCTACCAGCACAAACACCCAAATGCTAGTCCCAAAAACCAGGGAATTGCAGCAGCTACCTAGTCGGGAAAAAGTGCTGTCTGCTTTAGCAACAGAAGCATTTTTTATACAGACTAACCAAAACACAATCACCAACAAAGGTTATGTCTAAGATCAGGAACACAGAGGCATACTTGCATTTTGTACACAGTTTCCTATCAACAGTTAATTAAAATCACTCACTCATCAGCCAAGTGACTTTTCCAAAACAGTTAAGTTGCTAATGCATCCAAAGTCCTGCAAAGGAGCTGAGGGAAAATGTCTTTTTACTATTTCACATCTCTCAAGATGCAGTGAGCGTTTGTTTTATGACAAAAGCATGCATATATATGCACAAACATAACTGACTATAGTAACCAACCAGACACCAAGATCACTATGTCAGCGTTAGTGTTTCAAACAAACCCTACCAAGCACTAATAATATGTTAAAAACATGTACATACTAATGCACATGCACTAGTACATACACATATATTTTTCAAGAATATTACTATTATGTGCCACAATGCTAGAAACTGTTAAAGAAGAAAAAAAGTCATAGATTTGAATAATGCTGCCCTTGTAACTCATGTTGTGTCCACAGCTGATCAGCTCTGAAGACAAGACTCACTCAACTTCAATATTTTACAACCACAAAGGAAACTTTCTAATACTCCACTACATTAAAAAAATTGATGCAGAGCCAGCAGTATATACTACAGTCAAAGAATTTTCTCACATGTGTTGTTTCTCAAGTGAAACTACAAGCCATCAGGTGTCTTACACTAACATTAGACAATAATTTTATTTACAGGAATAAGCGAAGACTGATCTGGTTTAACCATCCAGGCATTCCGGGACTTTTTTAGAAAAATGTAGGCACAAAATCCCAATGTAAGGTGGCTAACATTTTTCTTTCATTCCCAGTATTTTCATGGAATTGAAATTACTGAAACAAGGGCTAAGAAACACAGTTGTTCCAGAAGGAAAAAAAACAAAAGTGCTTGATGTCTACTGCATTTCCCTCTTAAGGAGGAAAGAGCAAGTGAAAGCAACTGAGGTTTTTGCATAGGCTTACTGCTATATACGGAAAAATATTTTTGTATTTGAATTGTATTTAATTCCCCTGTATAAAAGTACTCCAAGTCTTAACTAACTCTTTAATTAATTCGATTACATCTGTAAAGACTTACTTAAAAGACAGTCTTCAGGAAAAAGAAACACAAGAAAGAGGCGTTGAGGAGAAAAGGTTAAAAAACTTTACAGTAGGCATTCATAACCAGGAAAGATTTGTCCACCTGACCATCTCACCTTGATACATTGCTTGTGCTGCTGTCCAGGCAAAGAGACTTGCAATTCCGTTCGATCGATAAACGACTTCGATTTGATCCTCAAGACGCTCTTTTATGAACCTCTCCCGCTTCAGTCTGTCGGGAAGGAGATGGAACTGGGTATGTCCATAACAGCATGGATCTGCCACCTTTGCTCCTGCGCTCCCCAAAACAAAACTATCAGTCACAGAAAGAACACTCTATCACACATTCAAACACACATCTTCACCATCAGACTCTAAAGCCAGAACCCCTACTGTAGATCTGTGAGGAGCTGCCTGCTTCCAAAAGGCAAGAGTCCACATCCTAAAATGAGAATTTCCCTGGACATGTACCAAAGTTCAAAATTTTGTGTCAATTTTCTATTCAACTAAACTTCTTCAAGCAAATTTGGACACACAATACCACACGCACAGGAGAATGCTACTCCCCATTGCCTAACTCTGACATGAAATCTCAATAGAGATCTATACACCACCTATATTTACACAGTATACTTACAAAGAAAAATACAGAACTTTTTCTGGTCATGGGAGAAGAAAGATCAAGGTGGTATTAGTTTTGGGGTTGGTCTTTGCTTGATTGGTTTGTTGGGTTTTTTTACCAAAGAAAAGTTAATATTTCACAAACAAAAACTCTTACCTATAAATACCTTATTTTCATACTGTTTTTTAAACAATGGCAGTTTGGATGGCTTGTGATCAATAACAGGAACATCTCCAAGATCTGACTCCAGGGGTACAACCTTGAAGACAACAGAAGAAAGAACAGCCATGATGTAAGACACATTTCTGACATCAGGTCCACTGTAATACACCACTTCCTGGTCAAACAACAGAAAATGCAAGTCCCGCTTACATACATCATACAGATAATCTTAAATGAAATTCATTGTCTTGCAAGAGAAATTCTCATCTTGTGATGAGTGTTAGCACAGTCATGTTGTATTAATTTTTCCACAACACAAAAAATGTGAAATAATGCTAAAAAAACTGTCACTTATCACCATCATTTACCTTCCATAGAGAAAAACACATTTCTAGCAGCAGCCAATAAACTAACTTGAACCTGCAGACTAAGTTTGCAGATTTGGTTTACTGCACAACATTTTAAATTGCCTAGACAGTTCTTCCAAAATGCCAAGGTTTGTAGCATCTGATGACACTAACACAAGCAAACTGTACAACTAAGTCAGCCATAAAAGTTCCGTGAAAAGTTCTGTAAACATAAACGTTTACAGAACACACAATACTTTTCTGTTTGGGGTGGAAACTGGACAACAGAGACCTTCAGTGGCTACACAACTACCACTGTATAAACCTGCAGGAAAAACATTACAATACTGAAACAGAAAATACTTCCACCAAACTTGAGCATTCAAGAAAACAACTGCCAAGCAGTAACAACTGGCAAGAATGCTCACATTCAGTTTGTATGTGCTTTTACTTTTTTTTCCCTCCACTCCTATTATTCTCCTCCAATGAGAATGTTACACAGCATGATTCTTGTTCTTGCCTCCATTTCCAAGGACAGAATGTTAAAAAGTCAATTTAATTAAATGTAACAACATGCAATTTAGAGTACAAAGAGGATCAGAAGTTCAGAAGCTACAAAGCTCAATACCTACAAAGCCATTTCCACAAGGCAGAAAGGGTGTTAAGACCCAAAAAATACCCAAATGTGCAACGTACTGATTAACTGCATCCTCCACAGACCACCTCTGCATTGTTTCAATGGCTGTCAGAAACCAAAGTGAAAAGGCATGGTATTAACTTGCTTTTGAAAACATCCCCACCTCGGGAAGCTGCTTTGGCACACGGATCTGGAGGTGTGGGTTATCATCTATTTGGAATCGCACAGGATCAACTCTACCCTTTCGATGTCCGTGAACAACAACTTCATTACCATGATGCCAGTAATAGTTAACCTCAGGGTTTAGATCTGAAACGGAACATGAAACACAAAAACCCAGTGATTCGCCTCTTGCATTTAAAACCCTCTCAATTCCTCTACAGCTGCAGTGAGATGAAACACCCAAAATCTAAGTAGAAGGATGAAACAAATTACTAGTGATGGTGTGAACAGGTGAGATACACCAGCGACACTTGTGCCGGCTCGCAGCCTGGCTCTATCACCCAAAGGCTCCCAAGTCCCATTCCCTGACAGCCCCGCTCCGTACCGAGGGACGAAGCAGCCAGCAGTGGGTTGCGACCGGACAGGGAAGCGGCGAGGGTGGAAACGAGCTGCGTGAGGAAGGGGCCGGGTGTGTGATCCTGGTCACGGTAGAGGAACGGCCTCTTCTTGTTCTGGTAGAAGCTCTCCTGAAGAAGGGCGTCGCAGGCGAGGGAGCGCAGCTCGCCTATATCCGGACACGGCGCCGCTCCCACCGAGGGCTCCGGGGTTTTCGCGGCCCCCGAAGCGTCCGCATTCCCCACCGCCTCCGCATTCCCCGCTACCTCCGCATGCCCCGGTGCCTCCGCTCTCGGCTCCGGGGCTCTGCCGGTCTCGGAAGTCGCTCCCGCCGTCGTTACTGGGGGTTTCGCGGCCGCGGCTCTCGGAGGCATTCCCGGCACTAGGACGGTTTTTGTGAAGCTGCGGTACCAGCGGTCGGCGTTGAGGGCGAAGGTCTGCGGGTACACCATGTACTTGGGGCGCTGCAGCTTCCCGTACAGCCGCAGTTTCTCCTCCACCGTGGCCGCCTCGTGCACACGCTGGTTGAAGCGCTGCAGGCGTCGCGACTTGGCCGCTTTGCTCTTGGCCGTGATGGACGCCACCACGGGCGGGTAGAGCGGGCTGGCGGGCGGCGAGGGGGCGCTGGGGACCGTGTCCGAGAACCAGCGCCGGCCGGGCCGCAGCAGCCGCCGGGCCCCCAGCGCCGCCATCTCGCGAAACTGCGGAAGGGCGGCGGGGCCGCGTCCGCAAACCGCGGCAGCTGATTGGCCTCGGGGACCACGTGATAAGATTGTCTTCCGGTCGGCGGGCGGGTTCTCCGGAAGCGGGAGCTGCCGGGCAGGAAGCGGCAGGGCCTTGGGAGTCACGTGGCTGGAGGGCGCGGAGCGCCCCCGCGGCGTGCCGAGGGGGAGCCTCTGCGCATGTGCAATAGCAGCAGTATGGCCTCTCCCGCGCTGGAACTACAGCTCCCAAGATGCTTAGCAAGAGGCGGCTGGAAGTGCCCCGCCCCGCTGCAGGCGGAGTCCGCCCCCGTGTCGAGCGTGGTGTGGCGCTGGGAGCCGCAGAACCGACCGGGCTGGGAGAGAGGTCTGAGATTATCGAGTCCGGCCTGTGACCGAGCACCACCACCTCAATAGACCGTGGCACTGCGTGCCACACCGTTTTTCCTCAAATACACCCAGGGACGGAGGTATTTTCCTTAAATACCCCCACCGCCTCCCGCGGCAGCCTGTTCCAGTATGTTATCACCCTTTCCGTGAAGAAACTCCTCGGGATGTCCAAGCTGGACCTCCCCTGGCACAGTGGGAGGCTGTGTTCTCTCGTCCTGTTCCTGGCTAAAAAGGCTCGGCGGAGCGTCGCTGCTTCCGCTGGGGAAGAGGACCCAGCCTGGAGCCGGCTTTCCCGGCGTGTCCCGAGCTGGGGGCCCGGTGCCGCCCGGGCGCCTCCGCCTCCTGCTGCCTGCGGCGGGGAAGGGCCGGCCGTGCGGGTACCCGCAGCGCTGAGTGTAAACTGGAATGACTCCTTGTCAGAGACATCGCGGCCTGCAACGGCTGGCTTTAATAAAGGAATTAAGCTGTGCTAAAATATGATCTGCTACGGCCTTTGTTTGTGAAATGAAATGAGCTAAAAGTGGCATACCGACACCGCAAGAATGCCACAGTCACTGCGTGTTTATCTTAGACATGCTTGGAAAATTTGGGGTATTTCTCTTCAGTAGACAGATGAAGTTCAATATTTATTCTTAAAACTTTTCTTCTGTCATTACTTTTTAAAAGTTGATTATTTGCAGTAGTCATGGGAGATTGGTTGTTTTTTCCTGTATTTCCATGAAGTATGACTAAGAGTGGGAGTGGAAAATATGCATGGATTTGGACAGGAGACACGTTACATACATCCCAGATCATCCGCTTTCTTGCCTTAACTGCTTAGCTTTCTGCTAATGATCACTGCTGAAGTGGTGGAATCTTTGGAACATAGAGGAATTTTTGGAGTAAATGGCAGAGATGTAAACCCAGAGTTTGGGTTGAGATTTTCAAAGAATATAGAACATAAAGCTGTTCTCTTCGGAAATTAGGTGAAAGTTAAATAGAAATTAAACTAGTGTTAATCCATAGCTAAATTGTTCTTTAGTTCACAATTCATAAGGAATGTTATAAAAGACAGATTTAAATGTTAAGTTACAACTAAGTTTAGCATAAAGTGTTTAAAATTTGTTTTTCTTAATTTTGAATCCATACATTTTTTTCATCAGCATACACTATTTTCTTCAGATGGGTGACAGGAAAAGGCCTTAGATCAGATGACTGACCATTTAGGAAGCAACCACTCTTCCTCACCTCCCACACTCCTGTCTCCAAGTGCCTCCAAAAACCTGTTTTCCTCTTGATTGATTAAGGGCACTGGCCAGATGTGTTAATGGAAAAGATACTGATTCCTTGTGATCACAGCCAGCCAACTTGCACAAGTTGTCAAGAAAAATCACCTCGTACTGTTATTAGGCATTTTGTTCCTTTATCTCCTCTTTCAAAACATGTTTCCTTTGCTGATTAGAAGTATTCTTCTAATTTCATCCTTAAATGTGTTCATGGTCAATTTATACCGGCTTGTCATTGTGCCAACATTGTCCTTCAGTTTAATTGGCTTTTTGTTTTCTTCAGTGTTGACCTTCTAAAATATTGATGGAGACCAGGCATATCACTTCTTGTCCTTATTGACCGAGATTGAACAAGCTCTTCTCACACAGGCAGATTTCAATTTCCCTGATCATGTTAACAGCCCTTCCTTGCATTTCCTGCAGTTTTGCATTTGTCTCAGGGATATGTAACCATACTGAACCCATTTATTCATACAAGGGACTGTATTAGCAATGCCAGGATTGCTAACATTTTACCACTGTTAAAAGCCTTTCTCATCATGTTGTCAAATCAGAATTTCCTGCCTTGCAGCCGTATGATACTGTGAGCAACTTTTGCATGGGATATTTTAAACCCTCAAGAAGTTCAATACAGAAACTGAATATAAGTGATGAAGTAAGTGAATGTTCAACGAACCATTTTTATCTTGTCTGCTTCATTCAAGAGCTGATACCGACTGTAACATTAGATAAGAGATGTCAAGAACCAGTGCTACCCTTTAACCTGCACTTAATATCCCTCAACTACTGATATTTTTGTCACAGTTTAATTTTATTTGCTTGGCATATATTCTAGTATCATTCATCTTGAGGTAGAAGCAGCAAGGGCTTGGATAAAATGTCCCAATAGACAGTCTAGTTAAAGGTGCTTGCATGCCAGCTCTGTCATAAGCTTCTGGGAGAAGTGTATTATGCAGCCATGGGTCTCTTAGTTTGAAGAAGCAAGCTGACCGTTCAAAAAGGATCTATTTTTCCTTCTTTACTCAGATAACCTGGCACATTCAAATTATCCTAAATCTATAAACCCAGAGCATCTTTTAGCAATGAAATGGACGCTTAAAAAGAGCCTGGATTAGGAAGCTTACCCTGCCTAAAATGTTCAGAACAAATGTTAAAGTGAATGTCACAGCCTTGAATCTCTAAAATGTAAAGTGAAAAAAAAAAAAGCTGTATCTCAGTTCCAGCAGGAGGATCGCTGGGGAATGTCAGTTGGAAGTCCAGGAGGTAGTGCAGTGTGCATCTTACTGAAACTAGTCCATAGGAAGAGATGGAATGTTGTGTTGCATGCAACTCCAGGACCAGTCAGCTGGGAGAGTGGCACTAAATAAAAAGGCTCAGGAATTACTGGAGTGCCCAAAAATCAAAGTTTAATAAAGGAAAATAATAAGGTGCACTAACAATCAGTGTGCAACAAAACGTAGTACAGAGCTTCTCCAGAAGACCTCTGAGTGAGGCAAACGCAACCTCATATAGACATTAACTGAGGGCAGAGAACCAACCAACCAAAAGAAACAGAAAAAATACCTTATATGGAAACTATCAGAGGGCTGGGTTCAGAACTTAACCTTAAGGAATAACTTAATTTATGTAACTGTTCCCATCATTCTTTTCCCCCACCTCTCACCATAACCTGACGTGATGTTATCTATCCTGGCGTCTCAGTTTCCAGGATCCTGTGGTGTTACCTGCGGTGTGGTTGATTCACAGCTTTTCTTCTCCAGGGCAGACCACCACAATGAAGTAGTTACTCTGTTTCTGAAACTTAGAAATGAGACAGTGTGCACTCACTCAGAAATGAGATTGCATAGACATTGATTACTGGCAAGCTCAGTATCTCCTTTATGCAGGTGGTGAAGCTGCTTAAGTGCCACACTTCCTCAGTAATCCTCACCAGAAGACACAACCCAAATGGGATCACAGGGATCATGTAGTGGAGATACAGTGTCATATGCATACTGACAGTATTTCTCTGTGGCTGATTTTATGCCTAAAGAGAGGATGTCAGTTTCTTCATGCCTGCTTCAGATGAAATTTCTGTGTTTAGAATTTTTTTTTGTTTTCTTTACTGCCTTTTTCAGCTTAGGTAAAATCAATGGGCTGTGTGCTGCCTGTAAAACTCCACATACTGCCGTAGACACAGTCTTAAGTATTGAGATATTCATTATTTTATGACTTAACTTGTTGTTGTTACAACAAAAGCTGTCAGATGATAACATAAAGCAACTCATAGCACAGGTACATGCAGTAAGAAAAAGTCATTATCATATTTTCTAATTTATATCTGCAGATAAAAGCATATTTCTTACATGATTTACAATATTTTTGTAGGAATATAAAATGCATTTCACAGAATGAAGTCTTCCATTATTCATCCTTCAAAATCTAAGTACTTCTAGAACTGCACAGCACTCCAAACAGCATCAATTAGAATTAGGTTTGCATTATGTTTCAACTGCTATTTTAATGTAGTTCCTTAGACAAATTCTTTGTGGGCTAAAGTTGTCTATATTCATCTATAGATCAAAGATCACACCACGCACTCACCACCACCCACCGCCAGCTCTCATTCCCATTTAAAGTGAAATCAAAGCACCTTTGTTGCAGGACTATAGAAATAAGAGGGGGGAGAGGGAGGTAGAGAGGGGGAAGATATGTTTCTGGCCCAAGCTTCATTTTAATTAGGAAAACAAGTTAAAAGAAATAACTTCAAAGTTGGTCCACTTTCTAGTTCTCATGTGAAAGCCTAGAGTCCCAATGAATTTAACGAAAGCCCCTTGTTTGAAAGCAAGGAACCTTCCAACTGGGAATTCAAAAGGTGCACAGGCACTTTCTGCCTGCTGTGGCTTTACATGCCATTACAGCGGAGCATTTCAGAGTGGTGATGACATTTAAGACCACTCTGGCTTCATACTGCTGTATAGATAAAAGCTTGTCTTGAGAAGATGCTTTGACAAGGCTTAGTTTCACTGCCTTGATGCCCATTAGCTAAAAAACACCCAGAAATCCTTTGGGAAAACTAGAATTCTTAGACAGTTTTATATAGTATTTCATGCAATTGTTGCAGTTACAAAAGAATATCTCACATATTCCCGATGCATTTTGGGGAAAATCTATCTCGTGGGCATTCTATGTGGGCTGTTTCAGCCCTTGAATACACTTTTCCCAAGGTCTGTGTTTTATTTGCAGAAAATCCATCTAATTTTAACCTCTGCTTTGTGAGATAACTTAGAGCTAAATGAAAAATATTTATTGTGAAATCAGTCTGAAAGAGTTTCTGAAAGAAACAAATTGATTGACTGGAGGAA